CCCAACTCTGAAGGATCAAATTGGTTGGGCAGATGCTGTTGGAGACAGATGGTATCAGTTGTAAAAATGGGTGTGACTCACTTAATAATGGCATTGCTTAACATTGCTTAATTCTGGTTCGAGTGGTCAGAAGTCGAGGTCTATCTGTATGATATTTTGGAGCTCTTCTATATCCTGACGGGAAATGATCAGAATTGTAAGTAATGTGTAAGGGAGGTCCTAGGTCCGTGTTGGCGAACTTGTACCATGCATGCCAGAAGTGGGGAATTGCGCATGCACACGCAAAGACGGGTGGTGTGTGAGGAGGGAATCGCATGCGCAGACCTTCTGGGTGCTGGCATGTGAGCTCGCGCAATTATCAGCACGAGAGCTGAGAAAGGTTAGCCACTACTGTCCTAGGTTGTTGAAGCTCCTAGAGGCATAATTGGTCCTTCAAATACCTTGATCTTAGGCCATTTAAAAAGATATTGATTCACACCCTTTTTAATCCATCGTATATAGATACCAGATTATGCATTACTGCTATAAAATATTATGGTAGAATGCATAGATGAGACTTTGTTAATAGGCAAGAAAATTACCTTGCAGCTCTTTCAGGTGCTCAAACAGAATTTTACACATTTTCTTCATGATTTTGATTGTCCTTACCTGTCTGACATGTAGGAATCTGTTGAAGTTGAAATCTCTTTAGAATGGTAGACTAGAGGAAGACCTCACTTTATGACCACAAGCAGGACTAGACTTTCTGTTGTTAAGTGATGTAGTCTTAAGGGAATCATCCTGTGACCTCACCTGGTTTTACAACCCTTTTTGCCACAGTTGCTAAGTGAGCCATGTAGTCATTAAGGAAATATGACTTCCTCCTTGGCTTTGCTTGTGGGAAGCTGGCTGGGAAGGCCCCAAATGGCGATCATGTGACTCCGGGATGCTGCAAGCATTGTAAATGTCAGTTGGTTGCCAAGTTCCTGGATCACAATCACATGACCGTAGGGACACTGCAACCACTGGAAGTGCGAGGACCAGTTTGAGAATTAGATCCTAGGCACTGTTGTGAAATGTCTGCTGAGGGGCTATTCCTCATTGAGATGGGATAATTTCATCTCCCTTCTCCTGCTAGGTGCTCCCTATTATTATTTTTTTTATCCTTTTTTAAACTGGCATACGTCCAAATAAAACTCTGGTAGCAGCTGCCCAATATTTTTATTTTTAAAAAATACAGATAGTCCTCGACTTACACCCACAATTGAACCCAGAGTTCTTGTTGCTAAGCAAGACAGTTGTTAACTGAATTTTGCCTCATTTTACGACCTTTCTTGCCACAGTTGTTAAGCGAATCACTGAAGTTGTTAGTAGCATGATTGTTAAGCAAATCTGGCTTCCCCATTGAGTTATCTTTTAAAAAGGTCACAAAAGGTGATCACATGACCCAGAGACACTGCAACCATCCTAAACATGAGTCGGTTGCCAAGGGTCTAAATTTTGATCACATGACTATGGGGAGGCTGCAGGCATAAGTATGAAAAATGGTCATAAGTCACTTTCAGTGCCTTTGTAACTTTAAACAGTTGCTAAATGAATTGTTGTAAGCCAAGAACTACCTGTACTTGTGGTGCTGATTGGCATTTGAAAGTAAAAACTATGTCATTAGCTGATGCTTTTTTTAAATTAAAAGTCTCTTTTTAAAAATGTTCAAAGTCTGGGATGGCAAAAATCTTGCTGAGCACCAAATGACATTAACATTTTCTGCTATGCTAAGAAACCCAACAAACTACCGTATATTAAATACCAATGGACAAATAGTGAGGATATACATGGATAAGATCCTAATTTCCCCCTTGTCTTCACACATTCATGTGGACACCACACCATCTCTCACTTTCCAGTGGCTAGAAATATAGAGATGAGAAATGAGAAAAACCTTGCTTTCCTGGCTTTAGTTTCTATGTAAATTTTTTTCTTTTGTGTTTTCCTATTGATATCAAGTTCCTGCACTTCAGCAAACGAGTCATATTCGTGTCTGAAGCACCTACTGTACAAAGCTAACCAAAATGATAGGCTGGGATTCATAGTTGTAGCAACAGGTGGCCTTCCCCATTTCAAATCAGGCTGTACAATCTGGGATGGGCCTAGCACACATGCTTCAGTACGCCTGCCCATCAGCTTGGGTGTAACCAAACTCAGTCCTTTGAGATGAAAGCAGAGAAAGTTTCCTTCAAGCTGGATTTGCAGACTCAACTTGATCCTTTCTTAGAAGTATTGGAAACTCAGCAAGATCTGAGGATCCATCCAAGAACTGCTTCTAAGTCCTGTATCCCTGAGTGGAGGATGTGGCAGACGCGGTCATTGGATGGTTTCTCTATAAATGCTTTTCTTGCTCCAGACAGCTCTCTGGTATGGATATATTATTTCAGATATTCTATGTGAAGAACCTATGGAAGCCTCGGGTTTGAAGCCCAAGGTCATTTTGCTTGTGTAAACAGAACTTAGATAACTGATTTAAATATTTTTGTTGGCATCTTATTTTTCTTTATTATTACGCTAGAACTACATAGTGCATCCAAATACTATTGTGTTCTGTATTTGAAGGGGGTTAGTATCCTTTCTGTTTGTCTGAAACCAGAGAGATCTTCCTATGGCAGCTGTCCTGAACTAGGAAGCTAAACTGGTTGGGGTGCAGCAACAGCTGGCATGTGTGGCATTACAAATTTGGTTTGAGTGGCATCCACCCTACCTATGCAAGAGTTTCCTATCAGAAACAGGAAGGGAATGGCAAAGGTGGGGAGCTTCTGGCTCACCTGAGAAGTTCCTCCTGCATGTTTTTATGTTAACTTTGTTTTTCCTCAAATCTGACTTGTGCCATAGCCTTGAGTGGGTGATTTTAATATTTATAAATTACACCGCCTATGTTAAGGGAAGCCTAACTATGATTTGTTTGCTCTGTGTCTTGGATTAGGAAAAAGGAAAAATATATTTTTTAAAGATGTGATTCATAGTGCAGGATAGCCCTTTAAAAGAAAAGTTCAATTTTTTTTACAAATATACAAAAAGATGCTGTCCATAAAAGAATAATTCATGTAAATGATGAAAAAATGTGAGTAGTTCATTTAGTTCAAGTCTAATTATTCATTCATATAGGTAAGTTTAAGTGTTTATTATTCAATCACTGTGGATCAAGCCCCTTTAAAGGTGTTTCAGAGAAAGGAGCTTCTGACCTAGTCCTGGATAGATGGAGAGAGCCAGGGCTGTAGGCAAGATCATGAAATCAAGAAAACAACCCAGAAGAAGGCAGTGGCAAACGATTTCTGTATTGTTGTTGTTGTATTATGTCTATCTAATTATCAAAGATTTGATTACTAATTTATTTGAGATTTAATGTAGTTATGCAAACAAATGTAATAAATGTATTGCACAAACAACATTATTGTTAAATAACGCCAGTACATAAAACTGTTAAAACAATACATTGGCTCACTTTTTACGTGTTGTTCCTGCCTTATCAGTTACTAGAAGAATGATCAGCTTCTGTTTGCTACCTATTCTAAACCAACCATAATTAGGAAAGTTGTTTTTTTTTTTGTTAAAATCTCTGGGCTTTAGTTGGCCATAAGCAAGTGCGGGATGGAGCCAAGCATCAAATAAGTAGCATATCGTATCTGTACCATATCATAACAGCTTATATGGCAGTAAATGCTTATCTACCCTGAGGAAAGTCAGGATATTAAGTAAATAAATAACATTATGTTTTAATTCTTTGAAAATGGAATGTAACAGCATTTACAGCAGCCTAATAGAAATCTGACCAAATGCAGTCACGTATATTCAATATATGTACACATATATTCACATACTCTATATTAAGAACAAAGCCTTCCTCTATTTTTAGAGAGATAATAAATTCACTTTGCTTTGGGTTTAGTATCATTTTTACTATAGATCTGATAACTGAATTTGGGCCAACAAAATATTTCTTTTTAGTGCTACAACTGTAATACAGGAAAAGCAGTAATCCTTATTATTCCCCTAAAGGCATTCATGTAGTGACACAGTGAGAAAGACCTGTTTGCGTGCCTGTTGTTTTTAAGTAAACTTGTAAGCCTCCTAGATATTCTGGAAGCTGTAAGGATAGATGTTTGCTATTCTTTTCTGTAGATGAGTTTTAATGTACATTCTTGAAATTCAGGGAAATGGGGAGTTGTGGATGTTTTGAATACATAAAAGAGCTCTGGTTGATTGTGTAGATTGGCTGGGGAGATATATTGTAGAGGACTTGGTCTCTCATCATCTCTCTGCATAGAAACCAAGTAAGAGCTTTAAGGAAGGAAACCCTTTCATCTGAATCCCTTTCTTATTATTACAACTCCCAGCAGGCTAAAAAAAAACCCAGAAACTAATCTTAGTTACTCTAGTTATAAAGCATAGTTAATTAGTGATATGCAGATAAAAAATGCAGCAGTGGTTCCATGTGTGACGTCTTTTTCATGTTTTCAGATGTAAGAGTTTATTGCATATTTCCCCAGTGTATGCTTTAGTCTAGCCCAAGGGCCTTCAAACTTGGCAAGTTTAAGACTTGTGGACTTCAACTCCCAGAATTCCTGAGCTAACATGACTGGAGGAGGAATTCTGGGAGTTGAAGTCCACAAGTCTTAAAGCTGTCAAGTCTGAAGACTTCTGGCCTAGTCTTTCCCATCTTCTAGAGCAGGGGTCCCCAATCCCCGGTCTGTGGACCAGCACTGTGGACGCAGCATGCCAGAAATCAGGCAAAAAAGCAAAGCCCCATCCATGGGATGCAGGCACCATGCAAAACCACACCCCCTACAGGCTGCGGTAGGACCTCTCTTCTTGGAACCGGTCCCTGGTGCCCAAAAGGGGTGTGTGTGTGTGTGTGTTCTAGAACATTATGAATGATAAACATTGCATACTGGAGAGTACAAGGACAGGGAATGGTCAGCTTAATCTTGTGCTCTGTATTAAATCTGTTCTGTCTTCATCTCTCTTTCCAGCCAGATCTTCTGAATTTCAAGAAGGGATGGATGTCCATATTGGATGAGCCAGGAGAGGTAAGGTGGAAGAATTATTAGAGCCTACCTCATCCCCACCTCTCCATTTGAAGAATTATTAGGACTCTTCTTCTTACTCTTACTCTTCTTTTTCTTCCATTCCCACTGAAATAATAGTTTTACAACAACCCCTTTTTAAAAATGTGCAAATTAAATAGGCTTTTGATTTTTCTTCATAGTTAAATGTATCGCTTTACACAGAAGCTTTTGCTGTGTAACATAAATGAGTTATATGTATCAGTAAAATATCAATATGGATACATGTTTTCTGTGATTCACAATTCTGTTGCATGTTTTTTGTAAAAAATGGCTGACAAATAAATTGGGATATCTCTTTTTTCATAATTAAGTGGCTACACATGAGTCTGAGTGTTTTTTGAGCAGTATAGGTGTTGAATAATCCATGTTTTTGAGAATTGAAAAAAAAAACATATTTTATCTTGCTGTTCTCCTTCGGTTGATGGTTTGGCCAACAGTGGACAAAGCACTGGTTTGTGCTGACAGACTCAAGTCTGAAGTACTACAGGGACTCCAATGCTGAAGAGGTAAGAGCCTGCATGGAATCTTTTGGATGTGGTAGTCAAGTATTCAAGGGAAGAGTACTGTATAATGATTGTATTTCCTTGGGGGGAAAGTAGAAGTGATGTGCTTATTTAAAAGTGACAAAGAAATGTCATGTGCTTCTCTATACACTGAAAAGATAACATGGGATTGCTTAGCTTGGAAATAATCATTGAACTGAAGTAGATAAGAGGAAGAAGGAGGTTCCAGTAGACTGGAAAGGGTGTATATTGGAGATAGGAAATTCCTGGAGTAGATGATTTGCTTAATGCTTATGGTCTGGAGGTCTTTTCAGGCAGACGATCTAGATGGAGAAATTGACCTACGTACTTGTACCGACGTGACAGAATATGCAGTGCAGAGGAATTACGGCTTCCAGATACATGTAAGTGCTCAAAAATGAAATAAAAGTATTTGGAAATGAAATAAAAGGCCATATAGTTTACTGAGTCCAGCAAGGAATTCTCTAAAGTTCTTTAATTCTGTGGAGAAGATGCTTCTGTGTTGCCACCATAGTGAAGTAAACACAAAGGATGGCAATTTAGCTTGTGAATTGAAGTTATTTTCTAAACCACAGTCATAGAATTATAACAGGAAGGAACCCCAGTGCTTACCTTTCTGTTTCCCAAGAGACAGAGTAGAATTGACCAAGATGAAGTTTTCAAAAGGAATAGGTGGCAGTTTGTGTAAATACTGTTGAACAAAGGGTTAAACTAAGTGGAACCCAGCTTTAGTTACAGCTAGTTGACTTAAAACTGTAATGGAGGCTAAAAGTACAGTTGTGAATCGTTGTGATCTTAAGTCTCACATGACTGGACCTGGGGGTTTTTTGGCATTTTTTGCAGTGGTTATTAATCAAACAACATGGTTGTTAAAGAGACCTGGAAGTAAATGCTGAAAACCAGCAAAAAAAACGCCATAAATGTCCTATAATATGTGCAAATGACTGTTAAGGTGAACCTGACCAGCCAGCGCATAACCTTGGGGGGATGTGGCCCTTATAAATTCAAAATCAGGTTGTAAGTAGCTTCGGGGGTAGGGATCCATCATTATTTAAAACTGTTGCTTAATAACTTGTCATAAGTTGAGGAATACCTGTAATACTTAGTTTGTAAGGAAGTTCTTATGTGATTTTATCCTCATTGAAATCTGGCTGTTTCCTGTTTAATCAAAACCCAAACCAGAAGTCAGATGTACTCATAGGACTTGCCAGCATTTGAAGTTCTTGGTGCTCTCTGAGCTCTGTTGCTTGCTTACAGATATTTCATTTCCTGACTTTTCAGTCAAATGAAACATTGCAAGCAATCAACAAAGCTCAGGAGCACCAAGGACTACATAGTTCAATCCTGAGCTGCATATATTCTCTTCTATTGCTAGTATACACTGCCTTCCATTTGGCTCGTTACCTTTCCTATGTTGAAGGTGAACCGTAGGTATACTTGAGGTGTATAATCAAGCCATATTTTGTATGTTTCTTTTTTTCAGACTAAAGATGGTGTTTTTACATTATCTGCAATGACATCAGGAATCCGCCGGAACTGGATTGAGGCTCTAAGGAAGAGTATTCGACCAGCCAGTGTGCCTGATGTCACAAAGTATGTGGTGCATCAAAATTCAGACAGATATACGTTCCTTGCTAGAATGTGGTGTTAGAATGGAGGTGGCAGAGCAATCATCTTAAATCTGGTGCTCTTTAACAGACATGGTGGTTGAGAATTGCAAGTAAACTGTGCTGAAGGTTTTGGTAAAAAACAGGTTTCTTATGGAGTTGAGTGGAGAAAACTGTTGCCCTTCAGTGTACTTTCTGCATTGGTCAATAGTTCTTTTCTAGATTTCAGAAATCCCTTTTCCCTAGCCCTGATGAGTTTGGATATAGCATCCTTTAAATGTTGACCAAGAGTTAGATTGCTGTGCTGGGCCTCTTTCCGATTCCCAAAAGTTGTCTAGTCTGATCCAATACTATCAGTCTGGAATGCCAGCTCTTCTCTCCAACTGGTCCAGGTGAAAATATTTATTAGTATTATTCATCACATATATTTTGTTATATTTCCAACAATCCAGTTATTGTAACTCCTTGAGAACTTGTTCCTCTTGAATTACTATGTGGGGTAATAGGGCTGACTGTGCTTGGGTGGCTTCCAGATGTGGGTGTCATCTACAGTGAGATTGGAGATCCATTGTAGGCAGTTTCTATGAACACTTTCCTGAATGGTTTCTACTTCTAAGTTTTGCATGACTTTTCTCCTGGTTTCAGGCTATCTGACCACAACAAGGAAAACTCATTCTGCAACAATAAATCCCCCAAGAATTCCTTCCGAACTGAGCTGCAGCCCAACACTGGAAGTGAGGTGATATCCAGAGCTGTCAGCAGGAAGGCTGAAGGGCAGCAACAAGCTTTTGACTATGTTGACTTATCCCCCTTACAACAGCGGTCAGCTTTAAATAAGGGGTCCCCTCAGCGGTCAAGAGGGAGCACGAGAAGTTCAGATGGAGCAGTCAAGCGGGAAGAGTTGGAGCGGGACCTGGCGCTCCGCTCGGAAGAGAGGCGCAAGTGGTTTGAGTCTTCATTCAGTGGGGGCCTGCAAACCGATGGCCCAGCAGAGAATCTTTGTCCTAAGAAACCTCAAGGGACTCCTCTGACCGAAGCTCAGAGGAGCAGGCTAAATGAAGACATCGAGAAGAAGTGGCAGGAGCTGGAATGTCTGCCTCTAAAAGAGTCCAAACGGGTCCCACTGATGGTGCTGCTGAACCAGGGCAAAGGGAACCCTGAGGATGCAAGTGAGGCACTGGAGAAAGAGGTAGAGAAAAAGGGAGATGGTGCTTTTAAAGTTTGATAAATAAAATAAATAGAAGTAGCCACTGGTAATGTCCTGAGTCATCATGTGTGGGAGGAAATACCTCTGTCCTTTTCACAAGCCTAAATAATGCAAATGTGCACATTCCCTAAATTGTTTCTGCTGTTGATGCTGACTCTTTGAAACCTATTGAAATAAGAAGGAAGGAGAAACATAAGCTTCTCTGTAGAGGTAGCACCTAGTAATAGCATTTGGACTTATATACTGCTCCACAGTGTTTTACAGCACCCTCTGAGTAGTTTACAATGTCAATGTATTGCCCCCAACAATCTGGGTCCTCATTTTAGCGACCTTGAAAGAATGAGTCAACCTTGAGCTGGTCAGGATTGAACTCTAGGCTGTGGGCAGAGTTAGCCTGCAATACTGCATTCTAATCACATGGAATGCCATCAGTCTGGTGTACTGAGAACACTACAGTACTGAATAGGAAAAGAGTCCCTTCCATGCTTTTAACAGTGTGCAAAGAAGAGGTGTCAGTCCAGGTTCATTTTGAGTTCGACACATTCACCAATGAAATTTCGATCACTTGGCCATTCCAAACACATAAGTCTGGATCAGCTACAGTTTACTGAATAAAACATAAACTATGGTTCACAAACCACTGGCTAGATTTTCCTGACACACTGAAGCAAACTGGAACAAACCATTAGTTTAATACAGGATATGAAACATCCATATAACTATTGTGCAACTTTTGTGGTTTGGTCATAACACTAAATAATGTGACACAAACCAGCACACAGAGATCATTGGAATGGTTCTATGTTTCTTTACTTGCAGAAATAACATAGTACTTTGAAGCTGTCTTGACTATGGTGGCCAGAGTATAGAGTCATCTGGATAGAAAAATGACTCTTGAATGTTGCCAGCAGCTTCAAAAATCCACGGTCACATAGGAGTTGACTTCCATGCAGCAGTGATTATGATGTTTTGGAGCAGCAAAAATGGGGAAATATTAAGGGGTTTAAAATGGATGTACTGAATTGATGTATCAGCATGCTGGCATGTTCCTGTGTCATAATATCAAGGGTGTGTGGATGGATTAAGGAGTAAGTCCATTTGCCTTTCCTGGTGACCTGGGACTCGGGTTAACAGAAAATTATTCTTTGGTGGTGGTTTGTTATTCTGCTAAATCATTTTTCTAACAGGTCCAAGCCCTGAGGTCACAGCTGGAGTCCTTGCGTTCCCACAATGAGGCAAACCTCCATAAAAATGGGCATGCGCCCCAAGGATACATTTCCCAGGTAATGATAATAGCCCAACATAATCTTTATACTCTCCAGCTTTTCCTTTCTCCACTCCAGTCGCTAACCAGCCAACGTGGATAGAGAAATGCTGGGACCGTGTCCGTCATTTTCCTATCTATGCTTGATGTATCTGCAGTGGGGCAGTGCCTTTAACACATGGCAAACATTGTAAAGGAAAGGACTTCTAATGCAAGCTCTTTCTGATTGTGCTGCTCTTTAAAGTAGAGATGGGTAGCCTGTGGAGCTCCAGAAGCTGCTAACTTTGATTTGCAGAACCTCTTGATGTTACCATGTTGGCTGAGGTATGCTGGTAGTTCAACAATAACTGAGGGGCTGTAGGGATTGAAAGTGATACCAAGTTGGCTAAAGTGGGTGTGGGTGGGTATTTCAGTCTCAACCTGTGATAATAATTGTAAATGCCTGCTTGCCTGATATGGAGTGAGGACAAGGCAGGAAATGTCTATTTCCATGTTGACCAGAAGCCATTATGTTATTTATCCATATCTCTTGCATATTTATTGACCAGTTAAGATTTAGTGAGAATGGACTCACAAGGCCCTGTACTGGGCAACAGTGCACTCTGCAATGACTCAAGACAGTATTTTCAATACCAGTAGAAGGCACTCAGCTGTGGAATTTCCTCTGCACACAATAACAGTTTCTACCAAATCTTGGGAACTTTTAGCACCAACTTGAGTTCATTAAAATAGTGGGATTTTTTTTAATTTCCTTTAGCAATGATTACAGACTTAAAATGAATGAACAGATGGATAGTAACTATGACTTGTTGAAAAAAAACAGTTTAAACAGTAACGTACGGTTGTTTTAACTTTAGCTAAGGCTATTTTGAGTGCTTTTGAGGCCAAGCAAAACTGTAACTCTAACCAGTGTGAATTGTCAAGTTTGCTTTGGTGGTTGCACAACCAACAGAGAAGGTTGAAACCAAGGTTCATGATGTGTTGTTTTTATAATTTAAATTACAGTATAGCATTTCCAAATAATAAGATGGTTGAAGATACAGATATGGTTAAGAGTATTTGCCTTTGAGGCGTAGGAGTATTTACAGTTTATAGTGCAAAATAGTTAGTATCATCAACTAAATTATTTAATAAAGTAATTGGACAGGCTGAACTTGTTAACTGAAACTGTAAACTGGAGACCCTCTCTACTTTTTAAAACTTCTTTTGTTAACTTTATTTTTATTAAAAAAAATTTCAATTCTTATTACAGAATAATCTAAAACTTTTAGATTATTATAATCTAAAATCATTCTAAAATATAGCAAGATGATGATTATGGGTAGTTTTAATTGTCTGTTGAAACTTGAAAACTGCTATGCCTCTCGGGGTCATTATACATTGGAGCAGGCTATAAACACTAGACTAAACACCTGATAATTATTAACAATTTTTAAAAATAAAATGAAAAATATGGAAGGTACAAGTTATAGGCTAAAAAAGTCTAAAATGTAGAATTGATTTTTTAAAAATGAAACCCAAAGATAATCCTCCACTTACTACTATTGATACTAAGACATAGCATGACTCAGAATTGAGTTACTTATAATAAACTTAAATTTTAAATTTCACATACATTTACAAACTAAAATGTAAAATGTTAATATCTAACTTGGTTACTTGATTTCCCTCTAACTTTATGAGATCTATTTATTTAGATTATATCAATAAACAATAGGTGAGTTTTAATAAAATTAAATATTTTAAGACCTTTATCAATTACCAGTTATAATTAAAAAGATTAAAATGATTCTGCAACGCACACAGCTCCCCCAAATCCTCACCAGAAAAGCCAGTTCTGGTGGAAAGTTTTCACAACTTTCCACGGTGCTTTGGAGAGATGGAGCCACCACCACAAAGCCTGATTCCAGACTCCCACTCTAATCTCAGAGAACTAGGACTCACTTTCTAAGTCCCAAACAGCATAAGTCAGTTCTGAACTGTGACCCAAAGGACTGAGATAATCCCTATGGGGCTCTCTAAAATCATAATGCCACCCCTTCCTGGCTAATTAACAGGAAGACCAAATTCTATTTTTAGGTCCCATAGACAGGTTGGACCCAAACTACTGTTTATAGTATATATAGGACAATAACAGCATCTTCAGTTGAATTGTAAAACAGATTGTATTGTAAAACAAATGTCTTAACATGTAACCTGATAGAGCTGCAGGGTAGAGGGGCTTTTGTATCTCTCTTTTTAATATGTTACGTCCCTCTTAACTTTTTTGCAGTTATCTGTTCTCAGGGCTCCCCTTTGGCAAGCAGCGATGCGTTTCTTGTTAATTAATCCCATAAAATGTGTTTTTCCGTTCTTCTCTCCCCCATCCCCTTCTAGGAGGCATGTGAGCGCAGTTTAGCAGAGATGGAAAATTCCCATCAACAGGTCATGTCAGAGGTACAACGGCATCACCAGTGGGAGATGGAGCGGTTGCGGCAGGAAAAAGAGCGCCTTTTGACTGAGGAGGCAGCTGCAACAGCTGCAGGTAGAACCTACACGATGCACCACACAAAACTAAGGTGTAATGCTTTTTTTTCTTCCTGTATATAATACTGTATAAAAAGGAAGAAAATACAGGTGCCTATTCTAGCCATCTATTTTTTAAATATTAAATCTTGTCCAATCACGTTGATAAAGATTTTCCATTTTGACAATAGTGAGCCAGTTCAAAAGCAGAGAGAGAGAGAGAGAGAGAGCGCTTACCATCAATCCAAGAAAGTAGATTCAGGTTTTCACTATAACAAAGTAATTTTTAATGACCCATGCCTAGTACTTGGTACATATTTCTTTTGTTAGTGAATTCCATTTTTTCCTAAACAGTTAAAATCCTGTAGTGCTGCCCTCTCTCGATGAGGAGAGGCAAAACATGTACTTTGGTAGAAAACAAGCAAACATCAAAAACAATTGTAGTCCGCAGGCTGTAGTTATCCCTTTAAATGCCAAGGGCAGAGCATGTAAAATTTTGGGAAGATATGGTTGTCAACCACAATAATATTTTCAGGGTGGAAACAAGCAGAAAATAAGTCTTGACGACACGAATGGGAACAAAAGAAGAACAGGCAAGGGAAAATCAAAGGATGGGGAAGTTAAAGGGAATTTATATTAGATATCTTATAGTCAGCTTTGAACAAAGCTATAAAATTCTTGATAGAGATCCCATTAGAGAATTGGGGGAACTGTTACTTCATTTTTTATTGGTCCTTGTCCTCTACTGCCCTGACTCCTGGAAAAAGTAGGACTAGATTCATTGAAGTGGTTTCCTGCCTTTCTGTTAGGTCACGCGTTTTAATAGCTTGAACTCGCAGCTGTTGACTTGCTAGCCCTGGGCATCCTGATGTCCATCTTAAAAATATTCTTTAGTTATTTGTAATCTAAAATGCATCTCATTGTTGATAATCTTTAGGAGCTATAGAACTGCTAATGCATCCAAATCAAACTGTAAAATCATCAGATGTTTTAATTAGATATATACTGCCATCCAGCATGTTTAGACAATTCAGATTCCTTTTGTAATAAATCATTCTTTTTAAATACATTTTATTAAATATCATAAAGTAAAAATACAAAAAGAAACAAAAGTTAGAAAACTGACAGAAAGAGAAGTGCAAAGAAAGAAGAAAAAAGTAGTGACTCGACTTACTCTTAATAAGATACCAAAAACTAAAAATAAAAAAAATTGCAATCTCAACCAGGCTATTCCTATAATAAGAAGAGTATTCTAATAATCAAAACCTAAAATTAAAGTATCATTTTTTTTAGTTTTAAGTGAAAACTCCAGAAGTGGTTCCCAAGTAGAACTAAAACTAGATAAATTCTTCTCTTTAAGTAAAACAGTTTTGCCCTTAACTCCATCACCTTTATTATCTGCTCTGCCATTGTGGGAATTAGCGCATCTATCCATCTTTCTGCATATCAGGCTCTTGCCACTGTAAACATATAATTGCAAGGTTCCAAATTTTCTTTCAAGTTCTTGGTCCCTTAAACCTAAAATGAAGACTCTTGGTTCCAATTTTATATTTAAGAATCTTCTGAATCAAGATAAACTCACCTAACTTCATATTTGTGGTTTCAAAAATCTTTAATAGCTTTAAGATAGTCAATAGGCAGTTTGTTAAAGTGATTAGAAAGAGAAGTTTACAAACTTAGTGTCCTTTAAAACAGGAGACTCCAACTTTGGGAACTTTCAGACTTGTGGACTTCAATTCCCAGAACTCTTAGGAACTTTAAGACTTGTGGACTTCAATCCCCAGAATTCTGGGAGTTGAAGTCCACAGGTCTTAAAGTTGCCAAGGTTGGAGACCCCTGCTTTAAAAGACTCCACCATGGTTGCAAGCGAGATGGCTGATCTCGTCTTCTGGAGCTCCAATCCACAGAAATCTGCTGTCCTGAATCTCCTCATGAGGAGCAGCTGTCCAGAGCACATGTGGCCAATCTCCCAACCTCTCTTTGTCTTGGCTGTAAGCACCACTTTGGCAAAATTGTCTTTAATTTGCCATACCATCGCCAGTAGTTCAATAAGCAAGTGAATTTCGCTTCAAATAATTGCTTTGAGAAACCTAAGAAAAACCTCAAAGTAAAACCTAATTTGTTAGCAATTATAATTGGGAATATAAATGATATTTCTCCATTTAATTGAATAACCTGATAATTCAGCATCCTTTTAATATTATGGCAGTGCGTTTTGGTAAAGAATATTCACAATGATCAAATAAAATGTATAATTCACATATAACATGTTTAGCTCTAGCCACTGACATCTCCATTATTTAAACATCGGTGGGCCAATGTTCTCTTTGTCACCTGATACAATGAGTGCAGAACTTAATCCACTGGATTTTTCTCCTTCCTAAAACAATTTATTTTAAAGTGGTGGGACTTATCTCCAGGAGGGATGAGTCTGCCTACCGAGATGAGGTGGACCAATTGCTTTCGTGGTATGGAGATAACAACTTGGTCCTCAACACCAATAAGACCAAGGAGCTTATAGTGGATTATAAAAGGAACAGATCTGACATCCAGCCCTTGCTTATCAGTGGAGACCGAGTGGATCAAGTGGCCAGTTTTAAGTTTCTAGTGTTACCATAAAAGAGGACCTGACCTGGGGTGCCCACATTGCAGCCCTACTCCAAAGGACCCAGAAGAGATTATACTACCTGAGACTTCTGAAAAAACAACAACTGAATGAAAAACTGCTGGTGACCTTCTACTGCTGCACCATGGAGAGTATTTTAACTTATTGCACCTGTGTATGGTTTGCCAATTGCACAGTGGCAAATAGGACAGCACTCCAGAGGGTTAATGTCATTGCCCAGAAGATCATTGGTTGCCCTCTCCCCTCTTTGGAAGAGCTGTATAGCTCCCACTGCCTTAAGAAAGTTAAAAACATTCTCAAAGATCCATCTCATCATGGGCACCCATTTTTTGAACTATTACCATCTGGCAGACGGTACAGAATAATGAAAACAAGGACAGATAGGCTGAAAAACAGCTTCTATCCCAGGGCAGTAGCTCTTTTGAATTCTGCTGTATAGTCCAGTGTTGGTGTAGTGTCGGGGGTTTCCGGTTCAATGTGTGAGGGATGTGTGTTTGTGTTTATTTTCATGGTCATGATCATGATGTGCACTGAAGATGGTGTTTGATTTCATTGTACGAGGTGCAGTGACAATAAAGTAAACTAAACTAAACTAAACTAATTTAGTTTGGAATACATAAGATACATAAATTACAAGTTTAGCAGATTTTACTAATCCTTTCTGTGTCTTGCCTCTCTGCTCCTACCCTCCCTTTTGCTCTAGCAATTGAAGCTCTGAAGAAGGCACACAGGGAAGAAATGAACAAGGAGTTGGGCAGGACACGCAACTTTCAGAAAGGGTTTTCAGATCCAAATGCGCTTCAGCAACAGCATCAGTAAGTGATGATGGAAAAACGATTGAGGGAATCTTGATTGGTGAATTGAGGTGGGAGGTATAATTGTTACCTATCAAAATGTTGATTGCTGTAGCATTTGATGATAATATTTGGGTGCGTTTTGGGAGCAAATTGAGTTCACCAGCAATTGTAAGTGTAATAGAGAAAAGAAAAATATAAAATAGCTGGAGAGTAGTCCTATTAATTTGTGTGTTCGTTTAAATTCATTTAGATCAAATTCAATTTTTGTCCTACCTTTATAATATGTCATTCTTTGACTCACCCCCTTGTGCTTTTGGGATGCATCCCCTCTAGCTCATTCAGCTAAGTGCAACCCTTTTACAGGAAAAGCTAATGACCTTGCGCTTTCAGTTAATGACCTTGCGCTTTCAGAAGCCATTGCTTGTTTTTCTTTCAACAGATAGAAAGATAGGTCAGAACGATAGGTTAAATAGGACCACTTAAGGCCCTTTTGCACCATAGATAGCCTAGAAAGGGAATTCTGGAAATTCAAAAAGATGCACATCAGACCTAGAAATGGAGATGTTAGCAGTAAGCTATATGTGTATAGATTAGGGGTCGCCAACCTTTTGGACCTCAGGGACCACCAAACTCATAATTTTAAATCCCATGGACCACTAACTGGTTCTGTGAGCCTGGCCTAATTTTTGGTGGTCATGTGACTGGCTAGGCATGGCTTGTATGTAAATATAAATATTTATATAAATATTGATTTTTTTTATCAAAAAAGAGCAACTTTTACCCAAAATCAGGCAAAGCAGGCAGGTAGATTGAGTTGCTCACAGAATCACAGATTCATTCAAAAATCTATCTATCTGCCATTGGCTAGCTCAGTCTGTCACATAAAATTTGCTTGCAAGCAAACTCACAAAATTAACTCACAACACCATGCATGTAAATACTGATTTTTTTATTTAGAAAAGGAGCAACTTTTACCCAAAAGGCAGATTGAGTTGCTCACAGAATCATTCAGTGATCGATCTATCTGCCATCAGCTAGCTCAGTCTCTCAAATTTGCTTCCTGTGAGTCTGCACTGAATAACAGAACCTTCAGTCCTAAGGGAGGTTCGGCTGTACTTTAAAGCAGAGCCAAAGATCTAAAGACTAGCTAGAAAGCAAGAAATCCAACCATTTCCTGCTTCCTAGCTAATCTAAATCTCCCGGCATAGCAGAACAGATGATGGTCGGAAAAAGGAAAAATAGCAATTTAGCAGGCAAGTTTGCTGGGTAAGGAGTGAGTGGGCAGGGAGCGTTCCTGCAGGCCATGTGTACGGCGCAGCCTTGTGTTTCTGTGCAGCCTGGATTAACTGCTTTGAGAGGTTCTCTGGGGGGTGACATTTCTCTGCAGCCCACCAAAATTTTCTCACGGCCCACCAGTGGGCCATGGTTCACCGGTTGGCGACTGCTGACATAGATTAGCCTTTCAAACGGCTTTTGTCTCATGACGGTCACATTTTATTCAGGATTTGCAAAATAAGATTCTTATTTTGGAGGGGACAGGCCAGATGGAAGACTAGCAGAGAAAACTTAGGCTGTGTTGATGGTGAAATCCTGATATCTGCTGCAGGTCTGATGTGGAGTCTCTGAAGAGGGAGTTGCAAGTGCTTTCAGAACAGTATTCCCAGAAGTGCCTGCAGATCGGGGGCCTGGTGCAGAAGGCAGAAGAACAGGAACAAATGCTGCAGCGTTGTCAACAGGAGGGGAAAGAGCTGCTTCGGCAAAACCAGGCAAGGGCTGGTAGTGCTGCCAATAGCAGGAATTCTGAGGGAAAAACAGTGACAAATTTGCATTCATGAAAGGAGGACAATTGCAATTTCCTTAATCTAAAATTCAAATTAAATTTAAAAACCAGTGAGCTTGCCATTCTTCTTACCTGGTGGTCCTTATCTTAGCAGCTAATTCTGGGAGATTTAGCAAAAAAAAAATTGTGATGTCAGCCACAGACCTGTTTGGGATCCCTAAAATGCTGAGTCAAGTTGAGCAGTAGAAGAGCAAACACTATTGAGCTCTGGAAAGTCAAGCTTGGTAGAGAGCCCCGGGCAACATGCAGCCTAAGATGTTTCTTCTCAAGGCTGCACAATTGAAGATGGCAGCAGGCCATTGTGTAAAAATGGTGCAAATGTCCAGAGTCTTTTGTCAATATAAGAAGTTAGACAGCCATGGTTTTGCTATATGTAACTCATCTTTTAATAACTTAAAAAGTTAAGAAATAGAAGGCGCAAAGCCAGAAACTATCTGTCTCCCTTGAGGACATTTATTGGGGGGGAAATGTTTAAATGGTTACCAGCTTCAAAAAGTCTTCCTCCACCTGTTATATTTGATGAATATGTTAAACTATTCCATCCTCATTCTTCCAGGAGTTGCAGAAGCGTCTTTCAGAAGAGATTGGCCAGTTACGAGACTTCATTGCTGCTCGGGGCGCACGTGACAATGCTTCACACAATGAGAAGAGTTCTTGTGAGCTACAGGTAAGGAGGAAAGGTTGCTTGTTACTTCTTGCCTGTCAAACTTTGCAGGTTTTTTTGTTTCAGGTTTAATTTGGCTATGTGGTATTGTGAATGAAAATAAATCTCTGCTGAATCCAGAAGCAGATGCACACAGCTTTTGTGGCAACAAATAGCTCTTTTAAAAGGGAGATTGGGAAAATTAGATGAGCCAGCTTAATGTTTCTTCAAGACAATTGGTAGAAACGGTAATCAAGGACATAAAGAAAATTAAAAAAAGAAAATCAATCTCGATTTTGTCAAACTTGTAAGATTTTTTTAAAAAAGAAATCTACCAGGCAATAAGGTATAGTTGAACAAACGTGGTTGAGTAGCTCAGGTGTAAACTAAGCCACAGAAAATCAGTTTGTTTATGAACACTATCAATTTCCTGCTTTGTATCAGACATGATTTTAGTCTTAGGGGAATGCTTGGGCAACCTGATTTTTGTTGTCTTCTGAGGGCAGTATCTCACCCGTCTTACCACATTGAAAGTGGTTTTGATAGTGGACAGTTGTGTCCTGAACATTTCCCTTTCCATCTTTCTTCTGAAGGTGCTTCTTCGAGTGAAGGAGAATGAACTCCAGTATCAGAAACAAGAAGTCCAGTGTCTGAGGGATGAACTCCAAATGATGCAGAAGGTAGATTTCTAAAAGCAAATCAGAGTTGCCGGTTTGCAAGAAGTGTGAACGCACATTGGCACAAACCAATCACTCCATTCCCTGTAATGGTATGCTGTGTTATCCAGAAAAGTAGCAAACTAAAGAAATTAAAGGCATCGTGTAGAAAAGGAAACCCAGCTAAAGCTGTTTCGCACCAAATCAAATTCTCTGTATTGCCCCATACCTTTCTGCCCTGGCAAATCACCTTTGCTTCCATCATATCCATCCCTTGCTTCATACTCTGGCTTTTATTCTTTAAATTATTAGGCTCTCTTTTTTGAGGATCTCTTCAAATCCCTATAAATTCTCAGTTATTCTTTTCCCCTCAACTTATTTCATTTTTTTTTTCTAATTTGATTCTCATTGTTTATGACTAATACATTTCTTCCATACTAGTCACTTAATATTCAGCCCACATTCATTCTTAATTCTCCTTGATCTCATTATATTACGTTGCATTCAACTTTATATTTCTCTCCTGATATACCTAACATAAAACAGAGCGGGCAAAAGCATGCTTATATATAGCTATTGTCTTTTGATGAACATTCATACACTATTTTTCTAGAAACATTTGCACATCTTAAAATTTTTCTATCCAGGTTCCCATCTTTAATTAACATTCTACAATATTGGTGTACAAATCATACATTTGCCTTATTTTTTGTACTACTTGCAAACATTTAATCCATTTTCCCTGTTATTTTCCTGTTATCCACAGCTATCTTTGTGTTAGATTGTGTATCACACAATCTAACATTCAGTTCAAATCATTCAACTTCTCAGCCAACACAATATCATCTGCATATTCTGGTTCATGTCCAGTATTCATCTAACATCTCTACAAGTCCATAAATACTGTACATTAAACAACCAGGAAAACATCCAACATCCCTGTCTTACACTCCATTCAATACTGAGTTATCTGCTCAGCATTTATTCTTACATATGCTTTGTTGCAATTATATACCACTGTTATTATATTGAGCAACGAACTTCAGCACAAACAATTCCATAATTCAAGTCTGTTTATAATTAATAACGTATACTTTACCTCAAAAGATGCCAGTATCTTTTATTTGTATCCTTGATTTCTATTTTTTCTGAACAGTGGTACTTCCTTCCCCATGCAGGACAAGAAGTTTGCCTCAGGAAAGTACCATGATATTTACCTGGAGCTGAATCACATCAAGCAACGGTCAGAACGAGAGATTAAACATTTGAAAGAGCATCTGCGCCTGGCCATGGAAGCCCTACAAGAGAAAGAGATGCTGCACAACAATATTGGTATAAAAGACATGTTTGCATTAAAGACACATGTTGTGTAAAGTAGAGCTAGCCAAACTGCAAAGGCAGAAGGCATTGAGGCCCCTTTTATCTCTCAACAGCAGAGATGCACCTTGTATTGGCTATCTTGCTGATTGCTTCAAAATCTTTCTCCTTGCCTCCTCTTCTCTCTCCTCCCCTCTTCTGTATGCCAGAGGACAAATGCATAAACAAACTGCTTGTAGAAGGCTCCATGAAATCAGGTTGAAAGCTACATGTTGGTCACAGCTACTGTATTGGTCTAGTCCAAGTCAGTTTCATTCTGCATCTAAAATAAGTTTATAAGCCAAGGATGTTACAGCTGAAATCTATAAATTGTCATGATCAAGACACTTGAAATGTTTTAAACTCCTGTCTTCCATTACCATTAGCATGGCCACCAGTCCTACTATGTAGCAAAGGTACACTTTTTGAACACAATGTATTGTTCTTGATTCTACTTTTCTTTGTTCCATAGGTTAGTTACTTTTTGGTGCACCACTTCGGAGAATAAAGCAGCATTCCTCTCCAGGAGCACTGGGCAAGACTTTACCAAATAGCCAGCACATGCATCTGTGTCACTTGGGCATGTTTTGGGCTGGATCCTACTACTAGCACCTTTTTGGGACTTTATACATGAAAATAATTTTTATATTTTGGGGATGGAGTTGGGGATATGTTTTAAAATCTTATACTTAAGTTTCCCAGCAGTTAACCACAAAGGTGGGCCAGATATTTCTCCCTAACGTTCCTTTAGATCTAATTGTTTCTTCTCCCAAATATTTAGCTGTATTTACATTTAAAGTATTTATCTGCTTTCAGTTTTCTTCTAAATGGAGAAACAAAACTACATAACTCTCAACTTCAGGCTGTATAGTGTTGCTTCACAGCAATCCATGTTGGAAATACGCTGTGCCGAAAGAACGTTGTATTAGTTACATTGTCAGTGGAACTGGTTTGTCCAAAGACCACGCAGAGTTTATGTTTAGGATCTATGAGTAGCAATTGTTTTCAGAACGGAAGTTTATTTTTAATGTTGATTAAATGCCTGTGCATCCCATTGTAAACTCAGTCTTCCTCCCCAAAAGTTGGGTTCAACTGATGTGTTCTCAGGGGGAGAAATTTTACTGCTGATGTTGCAGAGCCAAACAATGAAGGTGGCTGATTTTCTTTTATTTCTGCAGAGTTAACTTAATAAAATCATCGACTACAGAAATGTGTGCTTTTTGCTTGGCAGTAGAAAGTATAAATGTTGAACCGTTTTGCATTCCCCAAAGGTTGGCACCACTTCTTCTTTATATTAACATTATTGGCTCTTAATGCTTTTTGGAAGTTCAAAGTACTTTCCCTGTTTTCTCTCTAATCTTAGAAATCTTTAAGCAGAAATGCGGGCAGGGGGCCCCTTTATTTACATTTTGGATGATTTGCAATAGATCAGGGGTGTCAAACTCAAGGCCCATGGGCCGAATCCGGCCCACAGGGTGCTTAAATCTGGCCCATGAGGCCAGACTGGAAATATGAAAGGACTGGCCTGCAGTGCCTCTGGTGGCTAAAATGGGCCTCATTTTTACCCTGCATGGCCTCATGCAGCACTCTACCGACTGAAAACGGCCTGAAAAATGAGCCCAAAACAGGCTGAAAATGGGCTGAAAAATGGGCCCAAAATGAACTGAAAAACGGGGTAAAAAAACAGGCCCCAAAAGGGCTGAAAAATAGGCCCAATGCCCCAAAACAGGCCCAAAATACCCAAACCTCAGGCTCAAAACAGGCTGAAAAATGGGCTAACAGCCAAAAAAGCAGGCCAAAAATGTGCCATGCCAACCACCCGCCCCTCCCCACCCTGGCCAGCCTGCAGATGAGAACTACAGTGCTGATCCGGCCCTCGAAGAAATCCAGTTTGACAGCCGTGCAACATATCAAATACTTGACTCTGAATCAGGGGTGGGCAAACTACAGCCCGCGGGCCACATCCGGCCCGTTGGTCTTTTTAATCTGGCCCGCCGAAGATTGGTGCAGAATTAAGGTTTGATGTGAATGATTGAATGATTGCATTCATTTGATTTTGACTTGTAATGACAGGCATTTTGACACCAGGTGGCGGCCCGTCTGTCAAATTTTAAAAGTCAATGAGGCCCCCGAGCCAAAAAGTTTGCCCACCCCTGCTCTGAATTCTTGGCAATAGCAACAAGAACAAATTTCTACTCCTAAATTCATCTGTTATAATCTGTTCTGCAAATATAGTTTTTCATTGTTTAATTAAAAGGAAGAGTAATTATAAAATCTTTAATAATTTAATAAAATCTTGCTGCATGATAGGTAAACCACCTATGTCCCACCTATGATTGGGTTTGTATGTTGTCACCTAAAGTAAAACAACTTTTACCCAATTTTAGGAATATACCAAGGTTTGGAAAGCGTAAGAGTTAAAATGTCCAAACTTGATCTTGAACTTGACCCCAAGTCACCCAGTTTTTGTATGTTAACGGGTTACTTAGGAACTTGAATTTATTTCTCTGTTCCTACCGTATGCTGAGCCCTCTATCAGTGACATATCACATTTGAATGCAGAGGTTATTTGCAAACTAAAATATGCAGATGAAGATTGCAAATCTGTTATAAAAATGTTTAAATGCATAATATATATAATATAAAAATGTTTTGAATTTTGTTAAAATGTTATCAGTAGTAAATATTCCAAAAATTATGAAAGATGCTTTTACTCTTTCAGATATTCTCCTACCCATAATTTCTTTTTTTTTTTAAATGCTCTGCATTTAGTAGTCTTTGAATTAATTATATTACACAAGATCAAATTTCAAAATAAATATTGAGACCATCACATTACCATTCCATCATGCAATTTAATTAGATAGCACAAAATTGGTCTCCTTTTCCCATATAAAACAAGCAGAGATGCATGTTTTTTAACATGCATGCTTTTATCCAAGTTTTTTCATGAGACCATTCCAGTAAGTTCATAACATTTCTTGTATTTACTAGCTCTCTCTCTCTCTCTCTCTCTCCCACACATACATACAAAGCACCCTTCTATAACTGGCATATCAGGTTTCTCATTAACAAGATATGGCAAAATGATATATTAAAAATGTTCAGCAATTTCATGTGTGCAGTAATTTCATTTGTAAGAAAAACGGGTATTGTATAACTACTTAAATTCTTTCCCTTTAAAAAATGACCTTGACTGAACCAAGAGAATATAGCATATATACTGGAGTCCAGCTAAGGAAGAGTTTTGTTTCTCCAACCTCACTCTGATTAACAATGGTTTACTCTATCCAAATCAAACATCGCATGGACTTGAATTGCAGATTCCGCTGGCTGAAAGGTGGTTGTGAGTCAATTTGTCGCAGCCATAAAAAGCCATGTAAGGGAAAACGTAGCTCTTTCGAATTATATTTGTAAGATACGGCTGGGTTTTAAATAGGTAAAATTCATCTTAAAGAAATCCTACTAAAAATTGTGACCGGTCATCTGAAAAATAATTTTCGTTGCAAAGAGAGTCGCGTATGCGTTGCCCCCCATCCCGATCCGGCCATTCCTGTTCTCTCATTCATTTCGTAACGCGTCCCTCCCTCGCAATGCCTTTCTATAGTAGCCGACGGGGTCCTTAAAGGATGACGGCTAAATTAAACTTATATTTTGTCGTAAAGCAACTGAGGAACTAAACAGCACGCGTGTCCAGTACCCATCTCTGGCGGTGCGAAACAAAGGAAAGGGGGGCTAGCCTCTTTCGGGCGATGCGTGTAGTCTGTGCCGAAGAGGAAGCGTGTGCGACCATCCAGAAGCATTAGACTGTCGCCTTCCAATCGCAGGGAGGAGTCACATTCCTATTTCTTCAATCCTTCCAATGTTGGCACTGTCAAGTAAGGTAGAAGCCTTCCTTCTCCGACTACATTTCCCACAAAACATTGCTCGCACGTTGTACGGCGGCCCTTTAGCCATAGAAACCACTTTGACCGATTCCTTTCCCTCGGTAAGAATTAATCAGCTGATTGCTGAGAGCTCTTCAAAGAAACTATTGCTATTGTCAACAGAGAACTGTCAACGCGATTACATCCCACAGGGCTGTTTAATCGCTGCCCTTATCTCAATCTTTAAATTCTTCAGTAAATACTTAACACGGCTCATAGAAAACTACTTTCCTGAGATCTTGGCTCGTAATAAACACTAAAGAAGCAAAATCCCACTTTATAATTTCAATAAATTAAACATTATTTCTTAACTTTCGGGGAAACATACTTTAGAATTTTATGTAACATTTTAATACTTTTTATATCTTTAGTGAATCCTGAAAGTAACCTTCGATCTCACCGATTAATTTTCTATATCCTCCAACTATTTACAATCTTGGGATACGGGTAAATTTGAAATTTAATCTACTGGCGCAATCTTTTTCTCTATTACGTTCCTCTCGGTTTTTCGGTATAATGAGTCAAGGGAAAAGACAGGTTTAAAACAGAAGTTTTACATGAGTGTGTATCCCACCCCCCACCTTTTTTTTCCTCAACTGTCCAAATTAAAAGTAGCCTAGATATTTAAAAAATAATAATATTTCCAGTAATGTGCATGATACTGAGATAGCGATGAAGGATAGATATTAATGAGCCTAGAGCCTAATCATTTGACAAAACAATAAGATTAGCAATCCCAATCTTTTTCCGCGATGTCGAAGTCAAAGCAATTAAATCGAGAGAGACGGGCCGGGGGCTGGGACCAAGGCCCTTCCCCACCTCTCTATTGCCATCAACTTACTTGGAAGTCCTCGAGTAATATCGGGAGTTGGAGGTAGTAGATCAAGCTGCCTTGCTATTCATCTGTTCTATAATACACACACCCGCGTCATACTCCACGCCACGGGGGTCTTTACTTTCTCCAAATCGAGGAACGCCTCCTCTCCCCCTTCTTTTTTGAAAGAGTCTAAGGAAGCTTCCCAAGAGAAAAGACGCAGGCATTGCAAAGGTGCTGACGTTTTGTTATTCGCATTCTACTGCTGCCATAAAACTGCATCTCATGGTTTTGTGCTTAAAAAAAAAACCACACAGACATATTGCTAACTCAGTTTTTGGATCTAAGAAGCGGCGGGGTATTTTGGAAACGGGGAGAAGTGCGAATGTACTTAGATGTGTTTTTGGGGTGGTGTTCTCCGGGTTGCTAGGATGCCAGTTCGATCTTATAATTCCCTCTTTTTAAAAAAGTATTCAGAGGTGTGCTTTTTTTTTTTTTAACTTTTCCTCCCGAGTTTTTCCGATACCACCAACCGACACTTAGCAGCTCCGAGTCTTTCAGGTTGCATCCACGACGCTTTTCATTAATTTCTTTATTAACAACAACACTCCTGAGGGGAGAAGGGGGGAAAAACAACCTCAGTTCTTCCAGCAAGATGGCGATTGCACGTACATGTAGTCTTCCAACAGTTAAGCCCTCCGCCTAGGCTGGCAAATTAGGGTTAATTCATTTAGGGAAATGGCTCTTCAAGCCCCTGTCGCCTCATACCCCCTTTCCTTCTCGGGAACTTATTTGGAGAAAGTGTTTAAGTAAGAGGAGAGATTCCACCCTGAAAAGCCCAAACAACAGCTCGTATAAATCTCCACTGTTTTTTAGTGGGGGACAAAATAAATCGGGGGGCTGGGGGTACGAAGGCAAGTTGACCTGGGGTGTGGTGAGAGGGGTCTGAGATAAGTCGATAGTGGGGTACTTAGGCAATGGGGGTGTTGTGTCCCCCTCCCCTTTCCCTCTTATGTAGACACACTTATTATTTTGATCCCATTGCAGGCAATGAAGTGCGTTTTGGGGTAACGGGGGGCGAGTGAAGAAAGACCCCATTCTGCCCCTCTTCGTCCGAAGTCAAAAGGAAGATCCAGATGCGTCCCCAAGCTAGGTGCCCCCCAACTCCAAGCAGGGGGCTGCTAAGTGGTCCTTGGGGGAGGGGATGGCTGCAAACTTCCCATCTAACAAAAAGGAAAGTTTTCTCAGCGCTAGGACTTGGGGAGGGGACGGCTGGAGGACGGGACCCACAGTATGGGGGGCGAGGGTCCCCCCAAAGACACCCCCAACCCGGGGGGAGCCGCTCCCCCCACCCTTCCTGGCCAGGTCTTAGCTGAGTCTCGGCTGGCTCGGGGCTCCCTGTGTTAGTTGGGGTCTGCTCCAGGGCTCCCCGCGCGGCTCTTGGGGCTCTTGGAGTGCCGGAACGGGGGTTTCCCGTTGGCCTAGGGGTGCCTCTTGCTTGTCGCTTTCCCTCTTGGCTGGGCTCCCCTCGGCTGCTTCGCTAGGGGGGAGCAAAGGGGAAATGTCGAGGCGCCCCACTCGCACCCAGCGCCGTTTGGGGCGCCCTGAAGCGGCGGAGGACGGCTGCAGAGGGAGCCGGCCGCGGGGACCAAGAGCTCAAGGACCGGAGCAGCCGGCGGCAGTGGTGCGGAACCCAAGAGCCACGGGGAGAAGCGGGAAAAAGCCGCTTTAGGCGGCGGAAGAAACACAGATGTCGGCGGCGCGGCGCCATTCGGGGCCTGAACAGGCAGCCAGCAACCCTGTCCTCACCGCGGTCCGCGCCTGAGCGCTAAATACCCGGATGCGCCGGCTGCTGCCTAGAGAGCCAGACAGAGAGCAAGAAGCGGAGGCAGGGCGCAGCAGAAGCTGTCAGAAGAGGTGGGGAATTGAGCCCAGAGAGAAAAAGAGAGAAAAGAAGGCAAGCAGGAGCTGGGCTTGGGCGCAAAGCCGTCCCCAAGCCCGAGTGCGGACACCTGCTTCCTTGAAAAGACTGGTGAAGCAGAAAGGCCTTAGCCAGAGCTGCTTCTCAGGAGGGTGCATTCCCGAAGAAGACTGTCCTGACCACGCCCTGCCACCAGCTGCCTGGAAAGACTGTCAGGAGGTGACATCCTTCTTGGGCATTAAAAAGGAACTCTTGTCAAAGAAACTGTTGGTGAAAGTTCAGTACCTCTCAGCAGGATCTTCTGTACCACGCAGGCTGCTGGAAAGAAGTCCCCACGTGTCTAAAGAAAGTTTAAGACCAGCCCCAAGACTGGTGGCTTAGAGACCAGACCTGTCCTTCTGAAGGGAGACTGCGCAGCAGGATGACTGAAAACTCTACCACGGCACCTGCTGCCAAACCCAAGCGGGCCAAGGCGGCCAAGAAGTCCACGGACCACCCCAAGTACTCTGACATGATTGTGGCTGCCATTCAGGCTGAAAAGAGCCGGGCTGGTTCTTCACGCCAGTCTATCCAGAAATACATCAAAAGCCACTACAAGGTAGGGGAGAATGCAGATTCCCAAATCAAGCTGTCCATCAAGAGGTTGGTCACAACAGGTGTCCTAAAGCAGACCAAGGGTGTCGGGGCTTCAGGTTCCTTCCGCCTGGCCAAAAATGATGAACCCAAGAAGGCTCCAGTCAAGAAGGCCAAAAAGGAAGTCAAGAAGGCTACAACACCCAAGAAAGCTGCTAAGCCCAAGAAAGCTGCTGCCAAGTCCCCGGCCAAAAAGCCTAAGCCTGCAGCAAAGAAAGCCAAAAAGAAGCCTGCACCTGCTCCAAAGAAAGCCAAGAAGCCAAAGACTGTCAAGGCCAAGCCGGTGAAGGCCTCCAAGCCTAAAAAAGCAAAAGCCTCCAAACCCAAAGCAAAGTCCAGCGCAAAGAAGTCGGCCAAGAAAAAGTGAGGGGCAAGTTTGGGACTTATTTCTTGGAACTTCTTCTTGACCTCTATTCTGTAAATAGATTTCTTCTTTATTCTCTACTCATTTCTATTGCAGCTTTATAAAGACTGGACAATTCTTGCCCTATACTTTAAAAAAAAAATTCATATGGAAGCTACATTTGGGGTTTGGTTTTGTTTTTCTATTGTAATTTGAAAGAGATTTTTATGTCATTATTTTATTTCCCTTCTCTATTAAGGTATGCAATACATGTGTCTTAAGCATGAGGGAAGATTAATGAGGGAAATCTTAGTGTTCTTATTTTTGGTGGAAAATTTGAGAAATATTTGATGGAGGGGATGTGCTATGGGTGGGCCTTCTTTAATTGGATCTCCTCAACTGAATATACCCACAACTGATCATTGTAACTGGCTTTTAAGAAAAACAACTTTGTTTTATCATGGATAAATAAGCTTCCAATTTAGCTGATATGGTGGATGATTGTTTCTTGACCTAATGAAGGCTGGATTCGTTGAGGTTAATAAGCTTTCCACTGACTTCATTCTTTCAGAGGGGGACTGTGCTATTTGCAGGAAAGATTGAAATGGGGTCAGTGAAAAATACTGCAAATATTTGAATTTTTCCCTATTAATATTTGTACATGTTGGCCACATTGGAGTAAAGTGAAGATGTTAATTCTGTTCCTCAAAAGAGAACAGAAATAATCAGGAGGGGGTGTGTTCACAGACTCTGACCACCATCTGATTCTGGCAATTTCAAGAGAGTTCCAAAAGGTATCCTACCTGCTATTGGAATCAGTTGGATGCCTCCCAATTCTGCAGTAACTGCCATGTAAAATTATAACTTTTATATGAGAATAATCTACAAGATTCCTTCCAACCTTCACTTTTAAATTATGGTGTTTTTGAGGGTAAAGGATGAAGAACAAATGTTAGGGAATAATAGATAACACAAATGTAGCCAATATTGAAACTAGGAAGCTGTACACAATTATTGCTAAGGTTTGGAATGTTTTTCCCCAAGAGGGGAGTGAAAAACAATTTTAAGTACTCCAGATTTTAAAAATTAAGTATGCTTATGTTTAAACAAGAAAATTCTTATAGGATTGATATCTGATTGTTCATTTTACTTTGTATGTGTAATTTTGTGCAAGGAAGGTTTAGCTGTCTTTGTAATTTTAGGGTTTAAAATAAAATGTAAAACAAACTAACATTTTATTCATTTACATTATGTTGTGTAAAAATCATTTTTATAACATTGCAAATTGAGTTATATATCCTCAACACTAGACAAATCAAGAGCATTATTCTTGATCAAATATGTTAACTTGAAAGGAAAAAGGAGACAGTTCTTTGGTCATGAAAACAAAGCAGTCAGGGAAAAAACTGCCCAAGCCTAGGTTTCTCCATTCGGGTATTCTCCAGATACTTCTCCCCACACCCCACCCCACCCCATCAAACAGATCTGGGAAGCATGAGCTTAAGAAAGCTTTATTATAATTCTATATAGACATAGCATTGGTGGCAAATTAAGGAATTGGATATTTGACAGGTTGAAAATAAGTTTTCATCACAGAAAAATCAATATCACTTCACCACCAGATGTCAGCCCAACAAGACATAATCTCATTTTACTATGAAAATGTGTTTTACATTAAAAATAGCCAATCTGTTATTTAGTTCTTTGTCTAAACCCTGTATGAACTAGACAAAGTTGCATTTACATTAAAGTGTGTGTGTGTGTGTGTGTGTCTCACAATTGTCTGCTACTATGTTGAAAACTTACATACTATCAGATTGCAAACACATTTGATATTAGAATCATCAGATGGTCCCACATGGCCTGGTTTGGAATTTGCAATGGAGATAGGAACAACTTGAATAGAATATTTGGAATACAGAAAGTGCTTTCAAGGAACAAATACATCGGTTCCTCTAAGAATACCATGCAGATGTGGCTTTATAAAGTTAATTAATTGACACTTCTCAGACATATTTAAGATAAAAAATCAAAATGGAAAATTTCTGCAGGAATGTTTACTTTGTAGCTAAATCAAATAAAGGCGAATAGAGAAGAGAAATTGGAAGGAGGCATGCCCCTGCATCACTTTTCATATAATGCTACACACATAGCTGAAAACATGAGATTTCTCAAAATTGTGCTACAATTGGAAGGAGGATATGCTCTTATATTCACTGTTCTTTGATAATCTATGTTTACCATTACTAGTTTACAGGGCTTTTATTTTTTCTTCTTCTGATCTTCAAAGATTGAAATTAACCCCAAACCTGCTCAGGTTTTTATATTTCAGCTAAGTGTTAGTTGTTCCTATTCTATTTTTCAGAATTTTTTCATGTTTTTTTCAAGTTGGAAACACTAGGGTTTTGTTTGTGTTTCAGTAACAGACTTGTTCAACTTGGGAGATTTTGCCTGACTTCAAAGAAACCTATTTACAGCAATGTGTGGTGGGTGAGTGCAGGCATGCTGGCTTAAAACTATGATTGTGAATGCACCTT